ACCTGGTGGTGTTCAGAGCTTATTCCTGTCTCTGTGTTCAAAGATCACTCTTGGTGGGGCTCAGGAGACCAGACATGGTGACACTTGTTACTGTGTTTGGCATCTCGAATACATCATGGGTAGTTTGTCAGGCTTTGCCATGCAGGAGAAATACTCTCGGTAGCTTGCTGGGCTCTCCGAGAGGGGCAAAGGAATCAAACCCGGCTCGCCCAGGCTGGCAGCATGCAAGGCAAACGCCCTACTGTTGTGCTATGGCTCCAGGATCAAACCCAGGTCAGCTGTGCATAACGCAGGTGCCTTTCCTTTGTATTGTCTCTCTAGTACTTAGAAACCAAAAACTAAAAACTAACTGATTCTATATTATATATAGCATGACTGACTTCCAAGCAAAGAAATGAAGGGTGGTAAAATAGCAACAATTCTAATATACTGACCTCATTATGCTTCTACTCATCATGCTATTATTTCAAATTTTCTGTACTTTTGAGATTTTCCATAATTAAAAGTAAAAGTAATAAAATGGCAATGAAAACTAGACAGAGGAAGGTGTCATTAGGAGCAAGAGAGAATAAATTTTACCTGATAGGTTTGAAGCAGATTTTGTTGTTGTTATTATTATGTGTTTTTGTTCGGTTTTTGCAGGCAATGCTCAGGCTTACTCCTGTCTCTGGGCTCAGTAAACACTCCAAGAGGTGTGCAGGGGGCCATATGCTGTGATGGGGGTTGAACTTTGGTTGGCCATGTGCAAAGTAAGCACATTAACCCCTGTACTATCTCGCTCAGGCCCTGGGTTTTTTTGGAGAGGGACTGGGCCAGAGGAGGGGTTGGGCCAAACACAGCTGTGTTTGGGACTTACTCCTGGCTCTGTGCTCAGATATCATTCCTGGCAATGTTCATGGAACCATATGCATATGGGAGATTGAACCTGGGTCTGTACATACAAGACAAATACCTTAATCCTTGACTATGTATCCAGGCCTCAGAGCAGACTTCAGGATTCTTCCTTCATTACCTGTACACCCTCAGGAAGCTAAAGGCATGAACTCATGCTTTCTCTGGCTGCCAAGATGGGCCTTGCTGCTTTCCTGACAGCAACCCAAAAGTCCCACTCTTCAGAGTATCTATCAAAGACCCTATTTTAACAGCCATCTGCTTCTTAATTCTTTCTCAAAGTCTCAGGACTATTTCAAGCCTAGGCAAGGTATTTATTCTCTTTGCTGGAAAATTTTGAATAAATCATACAAAGACATGAGAATCCTACAAGAGAAATAGAGGAATGATAGAGAAAGTGTGTACTGTGTCCACTACTAGGTACATGGATTCAAATGAGGGTACATGAAATTCAACATGTCTCTGATTTCACATCAATCATCCTAGACCCCTCCCCTCAAGTTTTTCCCTTTATTTTTTAAAAAATAAATCAAGAACAGAGGAAAATTACCACAAGAAAATTAAGCTATGAGAGAGATAGTGGAACATAGTTTTTTGCTCTACCTTGAAGAATAGTTTGCATTATATCATATGCCATACCTAAAAAAGAATGGTTGCAAAATTCTCATTGGTCTCTTTAAAGCTTTGAAAATTCTAGTTTAAGAGACACCCTCTGCCACAGGTACTAACTCTGGTCTCAAGAAGGGAGAGATGAAAATAACTAGGAGACCTACACTAGAATTAGCAAGGATGGGCTAGGGAGATATTACAGGGTTAAGGTTTTTACCTTGCTTTAGACCAACTTGGATTCAATCCAGGCACCACATATGGTCCTTCAAGTAGTGCACACCATGACCCCTGAGCACAGAGGCAAAAGTAAGCCCTGAGTACCATCAAGTGTGTACCCCCTATTTCCCCCCAAAAGAAAATAGTGATGAGGTAGCAAGAGTTTCTAAAGACAGAGGGTGAGAGGTCTCCAAGAGATGGATATTTGTAATAATCTCTAACATGAATTGTCTCCAGAGAACCATCCCAAACCAACCCTTGCCACGCTGTGGCCTCAGAGAAGAACAAAAGTCAGTCATACTGGTACTTTCCAATTACTGTCCATGGTTGCATCTTGGCTACCATAAAGTTGTGGATAGTATACGATGAACCCAATGTGACCAAGTAAGCTTGTGGAGGATAATTTGCAATCGATGGTATTTCGAGAGTCCAAGTAGTCAGTTTTAATTAAAAGACAAAGAGCATCCCTAAACTGAGGATGCTGGGAAAACACCCTCGGGTATCAAGTCAGAAGGACAGGTGATCCTCTTGGCAGTTCAGAGGATTTCCATTGGTTTTAAAGCTTCAGCACAACATATAATTATAAAAAAATCCCAACTTCCTGCTAAAATACAATAGATAATTAAATTCTTAGACTTCCCCCAACATTCTGACTGTTTTGAATACAGAGCAGATAAGGACGAGCACTCTAGAGGGCAAAACACACTCCAACTCCATTAGCAAAAATTAAACATCCTATGTTGTGAATCTGCTAGTGAAAACTATTCCAAAAGGACAGTCTCAAGACTGGGGTTTTTAAGGGATGATTCAGGTATCCAGGGTCTTGTGTCATTCTCAGAGATTTCCCCAGGGCGTACTCCCTACCCGAGTCTGTAAATTTTGTATTTTGGGGTCACTCTCTGTGAAATCATTCAGCTCTCTCAGCTTTGGGGGGAATCAGGTTATGTCTCCATCAGGGTTCATGGCTAGGGCCCTCTTTTCCTAAGATGCCTCCAAACTCTTCGTCCCCAGAAGGGAGTGCACAGAAAATGAATGTTCTTTGGTGAGAGGGGAGGTCCCCAAGGAGCTTGTCTGGGGCCATAAAAATAGTACAGCAGGTAGGGGATTTGCCTTGCATGCAGCTGACCTGGGTTTGATCTCCAGCATCCCATATGGTCCCCTAAACACCACCAGGAATGATTCCTAAGTGTAGTCAGGAGAAAGCTCAAGGCATTGCCGGGCATGCCATGTTCCCCTTTACACTCTCCCCGCCAACCAAAAATACATCAAGGAGCTTTGTCTTTCTGTCTTTCTCTCAATTTTTCTTCAGCCAGAAGGTTTGCACTGGAGCGTGCCCTAACCCAGGGACTAATAGGTAAAAACTCCTAAGTCCTGCCTGCTTCTTTGTGAAATCTGATTTTTTTCAGCCCTAGGAGGTGAGCCTGAGATGCTGGTCTCTCTGCAGCTGTGGGAACTCTGCAGACATTCTGAGATCTCTCAGGTTCCTATCTTGCTCTTGACCAACCCAGTGTTACTCACATCTCAGAAACGTGGCAGGGATACTGTGGAGAGGACTGAAGCATGAGACTGTGGAAGAACTAGATGCCTTTTAAGGCTCCTCTCAATTGAACCTTTGTGTCTCTAAGGCACTAAAATAAATTTACGGTATAAGTAACCAAAGAGCAAAAAAATGAGCAACTGTGAATGACAAAAGCACAGCTTTTCTAGACGTATCTTACTCAGCATAGCACATACTTATTAAATATTGATATTTTCCATTTTTTGTCTTAATCTATCAGATCACCCTTACTGGTGCCTGCTTGAGCAAATCGATGAACAAGGGGAAGATAGTGACAGTGACAACGAATCTACCAGATGTACACAGTACCACATCTACACAGCATTCATATCATTATTCTTTTTAGTAGTTGTCCTCACATTAACTCACTTTTTAATTAATTATTATTATTGGTTTTGGGGCCATACCCAGCAGTGCTCAAGACTTACTCCTGGTTCTGCACTTACGGATCACTCCTGGAGATGTGCAGCGCCAGGAGTCAAACCTGGGTGGGTACATGCACTTACCCACTTACACTGTATTTTTTCTACCCTTTCACTATTTTATTTGATTATAAAATAAGTTTCTAAAGAAACATCTCTGCTGTAAAAGATGATCATCTGCCCATTCTGCCCTCTGCTAAAAAAGGGATATTCTGAAGGATACAAGATAAGTTCAAGACACAGCAGTACCAAACTGAGACTCTGACTTTAAATTATCAGAAGGTTCAGTGAAAGTCCTGGGATGAGGCTCAGCAGCAAAATGTGTCCCTTGCATGGGCAAGACTCCGTGTTTGATCTGGACACTGCACACAAACAGTCTTACTACATAATCTACTGTCAGCTATTGCTAGATTAACAGACCATCTCCAAGATCTATGATCCCCCAAAGTATTTACTCTATACTTTGGGAAAATTATCTAGATTATACCTGTCACTCAAGACATGGCCTCCCTTAAAATAGTCTTCTTGAGAGGTCAGAGAGTCCTGGCTAATCAAAAGCAGAATGCAGCCAGAAGGAGACCTCATTTCTTTATTCTCTTCTGGTTCTGTGATCCAAACTTGCCACAGAACTTTAGCAGGTTCTAAAGCTGGCTCTCATATTTCCTCTCACATATCAAAACCCAAAAGTCATCTGCAGTGTGACTGTCTGGAACATCCATAATTTCTACCTGCCGTAATATCCCCCAAGATAGTCTGATCTAGAGGTGGACACAGATTGTCAAGCAGTGCAAGGTGCAGATGAATAAACAGGACAGTCACTCCCACTTTAATGTTAACTGAAGCTCCTGTTAATCACGGAACTGCAAGCTGGAATATTCAATGTAAAAGAACATATCAGTCTTCAAAACAACTTTTAAATAACCAAAGCCACATACAGTACGAAAAACAAAAATACACAGGGATAAAAGAGAAAGTTTTTCCTTATGCAGAATATTGGGGTTAGAAATATTGTTAGAAAATCTCCATCTCATAACCATTACAAAACTTAAAATACAACTATACACTAAGGAAGTTATCAATACTCTCCAATAGATAAAAAAAAAACCCAAAACACTAAAACCAAGTATGTGTGTATTCAGAAAAACAGGCAGTGTGATGAATGTCAATAACAGATCACTGTGAAGGAGATGCAAGAGGGTCATTCTTTTATTGAAAGGGACCCCTCCCTGTCCATAGGCTCATTGAACGTTGAAGTGCCCCCCCACCTCACATACACACACATACCTAGTGTACTATGGACTCACCATTCTTTTCAGAATCCTCAATAGAAGCTTCTGCTCTTTCGGATCCACCTTGCAAGTAAGCACATCAGCAAAGTTCTCTGTATTTTCAGGAGACAGGCTGTCTGGGTTTTCCCCTCCATACAGCTGAACCAGTATAGACAGACACTTGGATGCAACTTCAAAAATCTCAGGATCCTCGTTAGGAAGCTGGAAATTAACAGACAGGACGATTAGGCGCCATCAAAGATGGGGGAGGTAGTGCCCGAGAAAGACAGTGAAATTTGGTGTAATGGTGGGAACATGAGTCTGGGAAGACAGTTTAGTGTGTGGGATATTTTCTCCCATGGATATTTTCAAAATGCATATAGTAACTCAAAGGAGTCTAATCACAGAAAAGCCAGGAGAGTTCTGTAGCCCTTTTTGAAATCTATAGCAAAGAATGACCAAATATGCTTTCCTACATATCGAATACACATACATGTAAAAATTTGTGAGGACTGGAAGAGTGATTTTTTCAGAGAATATTTTTACATTCCTTATTACTACTAACTTTCTCAGGAAAAATCCACTTCCTATATTAAGGGGTTTGATCTCACCTGCATCCAAATAATTTGGATTAAACAAAGCAAGTATTGTTTCACTTTGCATTAAGAGCTGTAAGATGATGATTATATCATAAAGATTTTAACCTATTTACTAATTGTTGGGCTGGAGCAATAGCACAGCAGGCAGGGCGTTTGCCTTGCACGCAGCCAACATGGCCGACCCAAGTTCGATTCCTCCGCCCCTCTCGGAGAGCCCGGCAAGCTACTGAGAGTATCTCATCTGCACAGCAAAGCCTGGCAAGCTACCTGTGACGTATTCGATATGCCAAACACAGTAACAAGTCTCACAATATTACTGGGCCGGCTCGAGCAAATTGATGAACAACAGGAGAACAGTGACCGTGACTAATTGTTTATTTGGGGGCCATACCCAGCAGTGCTCTGTGCTTTCTTCCAACTCTGCTCAGGGATCACACTTAGTGGGGTCCAGGGGACTATTCATGGTGCTGGAGATGATGATGGGTTGGCTGCATATAAAGGAGAGCACCTGAAATCTACACTATCTCTCTGGTCTCTAACCTGTTTGTTTTTAAAGTTTTCTCCATAATAGCTTTTTTTTCTTTTTCAAGATAATTCTCATGCCATATAATTCACTCTTACACTCAAAGGATACACTTTCAGCTGCTTTCAGGATATTCAGAGTTGTAAAAGCCTCTCCACAATCAATTTCAGAGTTTGTTCATCAACCCAGAAAGAGACCTTATGCCCTTTAGAGCAGTCACCTTGCTCTCTATTCTACTCTTCTCTCTTCTCTCAGCTCTTGCCTGCTTTGGGATCCTGCAGATACAAACTTGCTTGCTTTATCTTAGCCTTTCAGTTTCTTGGCTGTTACGGTTCCCCCAAAGTCTGCTAGTCTTTGATTTTCTATTTTATGAATTAATGTTAATGATCTTGGGCCATAGACCTGCATTTTTCTCTATACTCCTCTTTCTTTTATCAAGTGACTTTCCTCCCCAGTGTTCTGTCCTAAAACTCAGCAGTGGTTCTTCTTAGGCCCCATTCCTAGAAATCAGAGCAGGTAGCTCAGCTTCTTTACAGTACAACTTCTTATTTATCAGGATGGAAGAGGGTGGATAAATACAGATATGGAGAGGACCTGGTTGGCCTTCCCTTTCTGAATGTTAACTTACAATTAGACTGCTAAGTCCTTTGGGTCTTCGCCAGTTTTTCACCTCTCTCTGCCTTTATAGATCTTCTGCATCTGTTTCTTCCTTCTGTTTTTTTGCCTATGTGTGATCTCAGTAATAGGTTTCTTTTCTATTTCAATTCAGTCCCATCTGCTTTAAATCATCTACTAATTACACAACATTTCTTTGCCATTAACAGCTCCCCTTTCTTTTTTCATAGCTTAGAAGACACATTCCTCCCTCTTTTCTGATCTCATAGATCTGGGGTAGCTGGTAAGGTAGGTATAAGTTCTTCATTTATCTGCTTTAACATTTCTTCACATTTGAGTTAAATCTGCTCTAATATTCAAATAACAGGAATATGTTTATCATAAGCCAAATTTTCAAGATTGGTTTATTTCCCTGATTTTTATAAATCTGTTCATGTATATTGCACACAATCTTCAAAAATCTTGCCATCTTCCCTGAAAATAACAAGGAAAGGATATGCCCAACTGGCAACAACAAACAAGCCAATAGTGATGACTCCAACTATCAGGCAAAGCAGACAATGACATACCCAAAGAATAGAAAACTTCTACTATTGTTCCAGATTCAAGATTTGAGGAAGTTCTAGGCTTATGTAGAAGAAACCAACATATCCCTTAAGTTGAAGAGACAAAGTAAAACATCTCCAAAGATAGGACAGCATGATTTTTATAGGGCAATGAATTGAAGAGAAGAAAGCAGACCAAAGGTCAATAAATAAGAAACAGAGGACCAGGAAGAAAGTGCAAACATACTTCGCATGTTCAATCCCAAGTAACCCATGACACCCTCCCCCTCGCCCCCGAGAAACACAGGGAGCAATCTTTGAGCACTGGAGAATAGGCCTTGAGCACTGCTGAATATGGTCCAATAGAATAACAACAACTAAATAATATATAACCTGAGGAGCACATTATCCCCAAGAGAAAAAGGAATTTATGGTTAAAAACCTCATCGAGAAAAGTTCAGGTCCAGATTCCTTTCCTGGCAAATTCTACCAAGTATCCAGAGAAGGAGTAATTACAGATTCTACACAAACTCTTCCAGAAAGCTAAAGATAAGCCAAACTCATTTTATATGGCTCGGATTACCTTGATACCAAAATCAAATGAACATTTTACAAGAAAGAAAACAATTAATAGCTCTTATGAAAATAGAGGGAAGGGACTCAAAATAAGGTCAGCAAACCAAATCCAGCAACATATTAAAGGAATTCTATATCATAGCCAAATAGAGATTTATCCTTAAGATGAAAGGCTAGAATACCATCCAAAAATTGAGGCTACATGCAGTATTAATGAAAGACAAATGCATGATCCTCTCAATAGCCCCCAAAATAAGTATTGGAGAAAATTATGTGCCCTTACATGATAAAGTTACTCAATAAATTAGAAACAGAAAAAAAATATTGGTTTTGCTGTGGTGATGCTGCCGGGGGACCAGGCTACAGCTGGCAGAGCCTGGTGATCACGCAGTGCCAGGGATTAAGCCGAGACTCACATGTGCTTTACCATCTGAGTCACATTCCTGGCCAGAGAACCTTCTTGTAATGACAAATGACACATAAGAAAAATATATAACACACATCACACTTAATAGATAAAGAGTGAATTCTTTGTCCCTATGATCATAAATAATACAGGGATGTGCACTCTCATCACTTTGTCATTATATTGAAAGTTTTGGATTGGGCAATTAGGCATGGCAAATAAATAAATAAATAGCATCCAGAAAGCAAAACTCTATTTTGAGATGACATGCATTTAGAAAATCCCAAGGAATTCACTAAACAACCTAGAGTAAACAAGTACAGCATGGTTGTAAAGTAAGAGAGATCAATATATAAAAATCAATTCTATTTCTATGCACTAGTAATGAAGAGTCTGAAAAAGAAACTGAGAAAATTCAATCTTAAATATCATAAAAAGAATAGAATATTTAGGACTAACGTACAAAATATGTATATAATTTCTACACTGAAAACTATAAAGCTAGTGCTCAAAAATTAAATAAGGTCTACATAGATGGGAACAACATTACATGTTTGAGGTTAAAAAGAGTTAAAATGAGCAAAATGTTCCCAATTGATCTATAGGTTTTACTCAGAGTTGCAGCTTTTGTCTTTTTTTTTAGAAACTGACAAGGTGTTTCTAAGGATCAAAAGAAAATACTTGGAGAAGCTATTAAGGAACAAGTTTGGAAGGCTTACATTTGAAAATTTTAAAGTTCACTACCCAGCTGCAATATCCCAGCCAGCTGCATACTGTTATAAAGACATCATAAATAATCACTGAAATAGAAGCAAGAGCCCAGAAACAAACCCGTGTATCTCTGGCAAATTTATTTCCAACAAAAGCACCAAAACAATTCAACAGAAAGGAGATAATGAGGAAGGGATTTTTTTTCAAACGGTGGTAGAACAAGTGTGTGTGTGTGTGTGTGTGTGTGTGTGTGTGTGTGTGTAAAATAAAGTTATCATGTTATGCAAATGTGATCTCAAAAAGAAACAGCTAAATACAAGAGAGTAACACATGTAATTTTTTTGTTTTTGTTTGCTTTGGGGCCACACCTGGCTCTGCATTCATGGATCACCCCTAGTGGGATTCCAGCAAACCATATGTAGTGCCAGGGATCAAACCAGGGCCAGCTGTGTGCAAGGCAAGCGCCTTACCCACTGCATTAGCTCTCCAGTCTCAACATATACAGTTTTTTAAAGACCACGTAGAAGTCAGCCATTGTGATTCTGGGTTAGCCAACTATTTTTTTTTAGCCAACTATTTAAAGGAATGACACCAAATCAAAAGCTCCAAAAGAAAAATAAATACATTGGACTTCACAAAATCTCTAAAATTTTGTGTCATCAAGAAAGTGAAAGACAACAATTAATTGAACTAGAAAATATTTTTGTAAATGAATATCAGGGAAAGGGACATATATTCATATAATATATAAAAACTCTTATCACTGTATCACTGTCATCCTGTTGTTCATTGATTTACTCGAGTAGATGCCAGTAATGTCTTCATTCATCCCAGCCCTGAGATTTTAGCAGTCTCTCCTTACTCGTCTTTATGAGTAAGAGGAGTAAGGAAAAAAAAAAACTCTTATAAATCAATTTTTAAAACCCCAATTTTTCAAAGGGCAAGAATAGGCTTTGCTCCAAAGAAGATATGTAAATAGCCAATGGGCATACAAAAAAGCATGATCAACATCACTAACCACAAAGACGAATCAAAATCATTAGGAGAAATATTTCATGCCCATTAGAAAAACTATAACCAAAAACATAAATACTAACCAGGAATGGTGAGAATGTGAAGAAACTAGAAACCTCATGCACTTGGAATATGGATGGTGTGGGCAGTTTGGAAAACACTCTGGTATTTTCTCTAAAGGTTAATACAGACTTACAATGTGACCCAGCATATCCACTCCTAGATATTTTTAC